ACCAAAAATGAAAATTAGTTTTTTGCAAATACAAACAAAATTGACACTTAGCTAGACTAAGAAAAAACAGAGAAGACTCAAATAAGTAAAATCAGAGATTTAAAAAAGACATTAAAATGATTGCTACAGAAATACAAAGGATCATTACAGACTATTATGAACCATTATATGTCAACAATTTGGGAAACCTAGAAGAAATGAATAAATTCCTGGACACATACAACTTACCAAGATTGAACCATGAGTAATAGAAAACCTTAACAGACCAATAATGAATAATGCGATGAGGCAGTAATAAAAGGTCTCTCATTGAAGAAAAGCTCAGGACCTGATGGCTTCATTGCTAAAAAAGAACTATCACCAATTTACTCAAACAATTTCAAAAAATTGAAGAGGACAGAATACTTAAAACTCATTTACGAGGCCAACATTATCTTGATACAAAAACTAGACAAGAACACAACAAAAAAAAAGAAAACTGGCTGGCGTGGTGGCTCATGCCTGTAATCCTAGCACTCTGGGAGGCCGAGGCGGGTGGATTGCTCGAGGTCAGGAGTTCAAAACCAGCCTGAGCAAGAGTGAGACCCCGTCTCTACTATAAATAGAAAGAAATTAATTGGCCAACTAATATATATATAGAAAAATTAGCCAGGCATGGTGGCACATGTCTGTAGTCCCAGGTACTCAGGAGGCTGAGGCAGCAGGATTGCTTGAGCCCAGGAGTTTGAAGTTGCTGTGAGCTAGGCTGACGCCACGGCACTCACTCTAGCCTGGGCAACAAGCGAGACTCCTGTCTCAAAAAAACACAAAAAAAAAAAAAAAAAGAAAGAAAGAAAAGAAAAAGCAAACTACAGGTCAATATCCCTGAAGGATATAGGTACAAAAATCCTCAACAAAACACTAGCAAACTTAATTCAACAGAAGATCATTATTGACAACGATCAAGTGAGATTCATCCCAAGAATGCAAGGATGGTTCTACATACACTAATCAATAAACATGATACATCACATTAACAGAATGAAGGGGGAAAACCATATGATCATTTCAGTAGATACTCAAAAGCGGTAGATAAAATTTAATATCCCTTCATGATAAAAACCCTCAACAAACTAGGCATAAAAGGTGCATACCTCAAAACGATAAAGGCTGTATATGACAAACCCACAGCTAACATCATATTGAGCAGGGAAAAATTGAAAGCCCTTCCTCTAAGATCTGTAATAAGACAAAGATCCCCATACTCACCACTCATATTAAACATAGTTCTGGAAGTCCTAACCAGAGCAATCAGGCAAGAGAAAGACATAAAAGACATCCAAATTGGAAAGGAAGAACTCAAATTGCCCAGTTTGCAGATGACATGATCTTTTATATAGAAACCCTAAAGAATCCACCAAAAAACTGTTCGAACTAATAAACAAATGCAGTAAAGTTGTAGGATAAAAAATCAACATAAAAAATAAGTACCATTTCTATACATGAAGAGCAAACAATCTTAAGAAAAGATCAAAAAAAGTAATTCCATTTATGATAGTTACAATAAACATAAATGAAATATATAGGACTAAAATTAAGCAAAGAAGTGAAAGATTTGTACAATGAAAACTATAAAACACTGATGAAAGAAATTGGTGGGTGAGAAGATGGTGGCGGAGGGGGAAGCAGCGTGAGAAGCTGGGGGAGCGTCAACTCATTGAAATGGGCCACCATGGCCCTCCACAACCCGCAGTATATTTTTGGAGATTTTAACCCTGATGAATTTAATCAGTTCTTTGTGACTCCTCGATCTTCAGTTGAGCTTCTTCCGTACAGTGGAACAGTGCTGTATGGCACACAGGCTATGGATAAACTCCCTGAAGGACAAGAATACCAGAGGATTGAATTTGGTGTTAATGAAGTAATTGAACCTAATGAATAACACATTGCAGAGAAACTCCAGCTACAGTATTTAAAGCACATTGAACTCTCAGGCCCCTGAATTTATTCTCGGTTGTACAACTTCCAAAACTAGCCCTGATAGCCTAGATAAGGAAGCCAGCTACAGCTCCATGGACTGCCAGTACCCAGGCTCTGCCCTGGCTGTGGAGAGCAGTTCTAATGTGGAGGTGGAAGTTTTGGAAAACGATGGTATCTCAGGTGGTCTTAGACAAAGGGAGCGTAAAAAGAAGAAAAAACAGCCACCTGGATATTATAGTTATTTGAAGGATGGTGGTGAAGATAGTATTTCCCCAGAAGCTCTGGCCAATGGTCATGCCAATTCAGCAGTCCTGAACAGCGTCAGCACATAGGATGCAGAATTTATGGGTGACATGCCTCCATCGGTTACACACAGGACGTGTAACAGCCCTCAGAACTCCACGGACTCCATCAGTGACAATCTCCCTGGTGGTCCTTTCCCCAGAGCACTCAGCAGCAACACCAGGACTGCAGAGCAGCCTGAGGGGGTCCACGGGACTGATTGTGATCAGTCCTGCTTCCCTGCAGAGGCTGCTAGAGACAACCTGTTGAGGACAGCTGTGGCTCAGCCTTGTGTCGGTACCAATACTACTGAAAACCTTGGAGTTGCTAATGGAAAAATACTTGAATCCTCGGGTTAGGGCACAGCTGCCAACGAGGTGGAGCTGCACACCACGGAATGCATAGACTTGGACCCCACTAAACCCGAGAGCGCTTCACCTGCTGACGGTGCTGGCTCTGCCTCGGGTGCCATTCCCATTAGCCAGCCCAAGTCCTGGGCCAGTCTCTTCCACGATTCTAAGCCTCCTTCCTCTTCGCTCGTGGCGTATGTGGAAACCAAGTATTCCCCTCCGTCCACATCTCCCCTGGTCTCTGAAAAGCGGGTTGAAGTCAAAGAAGGGCTTGTTCCAGTTTCAGAGGATCCTGTAGCCATAAAGATTGCAGAGTTACTGGAGAATGTAACCTTAATACATAAACCAGTGTCATTGCAACCCCGTGAGCTGATCAATAAAGGAAACTGGTGCTACATTAATGCTACACTGTAGGCATTGGTTGCATGCCCTCTGATGTATTGCCTGATGAAATTCATTCCTCTGTATTCAAAAGTGCAAAAGTCTTGTACGTCAACACGCATGACAGATAGCTTTGTTCGGCTAATGAATGAGTTTACTAATATGCCAGTACCTCCAAAATCCCGTCAAGCTCTTGGGGATAAAATCGTGACGGACATCCGCCCTGAAGCTGCCTTTGCACCCACGTATATCTACAGACTCCTGACTGTTAACAAGTCAAGCCTCTCTGAAAAGGGTCAACAAGAAGACGCTGAGAAGTACTTAGGCTTCATTCTAAACAGATTGCATGAGGAAATGCTGAACCTAAAGAAGCTTCTCTCATCAAATAATGAAAAACTTTCGATCTCCAATAGGCCCAGGAGCCACTTGCTGGACGAATACTAGCAGGAGGAGCCTGGGGAGGGGAGCAAGGACGAGTGGGAGCAAGTGGGCCCCAGGAACAAGACCTCCATCACCTGCCAGGTGGATTTTGTTCCTACTCCAATCACCAGCATTTTTGGCGGACACATCAGGTCTGTGGTTTACCAGCAGAGTTCAAAAGAATCTGCCACTTTGCAACCATTTATCACGTTGCAGTTGGATATCCAGTCTGACAAAATATGTACAGTCCAGGATGCATTGGAAAGCTTGGCTGCACGAGAATCTGTCCAAGGTTATACCACAAAAACTAAACAGGAGATTGAGATAAGTCAAAGAGTGACTGGCAAGACTTCCTCCTGTTCTTGTGCTACACCTGAAACTGTTTATAAGAAGACTGGTGGCTGTCAGAAGCTTATCAAAAACATTGAATATCCTGCAGACTTGGAAATTAGCAAAAAACTTCTTTCTCCGGGAGTTAAAAATAATAATTTTAAATGCCACAGAACCTATCAGCTATTTGTAGTGGTCTACCATCACAGCAACAGCTTGACAGGCGTTCATTACACTACAGATGTCTTCTAGATGGGTCTGAACGGCTGGCTGCGCATCGATGACCAGACGGTCAAGCTGATTAACCAGTAACAGGTGGTGAAACCCACTGCGGAACACACAGCCTACCTCCTGTATTACCGCCGAGTGGACCTGCTGTGAACCCTCTGCTGTGTGTGCCCAGTCTGCTTGGTAAAACACCAGCTCTCACTAACTTCCCGCCTCTCTTTAGTGGCTCTGTAGAGAAAATGGGCTAGAATGAAAGGACATGCCTTCGACTTCTTGCACAACATAGTTTATCTTTACTTCTAACTTCCAAATCAAAATCATTTGGTTGAAACAGACTGTCGCTTGATTTTAGAAAATACACAAAACCCCATATTTCTGAAATAATGCTGATTCCTTGAATGAGAAAGGGAACTTGCATTTTATTCCCAGTTTAATTGCTTAGAAGAATAAACACTGCACCAGCAACAACACTTGTAAATTTGTGAAAATGAATTTTATCTTTCCTTAAAAAAGAAAATTTTAAGGCCGGGCGCGGTGGCTCACGCCTGTAATCCTAGTACTCTGGGAGGCCGAGGCGGGCGCGGAGTTGGCTTCATAGGTCAGGATGTCGAAACCAGCCCTGAGCAAGAGCGAGACCGCGTTCTCTACTATAAACAGAAAAAATTAATTGGCCAAACTATAATATATAAGAAAAAATTAGCCGGGCATGCGTGGTGCATGCTGTAGTCCAGCTACCGGGAGGCTGAGGGCAGCAGAATCGCTTGAGCCAGGAGTTTGAGGTTGCTGTGAGGCTAGGCTGATGCCACGGCACTCACTCTAGCCTGGGTACAAAGTGAACTCTGTCTCAAAAAAAAAAAAAAGAAAAAAAATTTTAGGCGGGCGCGGTGGCTCACGCTGTAATCCTAGCTCTCTGGGAGGCCGAGGCGGCGGATTGCTTGAGGTCAGGGAGTTCAAACCAGCCTGAGCAAGAGTGAGACCCGTCTCTACTATAAATAAAAAATAATTGCCATAATATGTATATACAAAAAAATTAGCCGGGCATGGTGGCGAATGCCTGTAGTCCCAGCTACTTGGGAGGCTGAGACAGGAGGATTGCTTGAGCCAGGAGTTTGAGGTTGCTGTGAGCTAGACTGACACCATGGCACTCACTCTAGCCTGGGCAATAAAAGAAAATTTTAAATCCATCACACTTTCCTCCCCACCCTTTAGTTTTTGATAAACAATAAAAATGAGGGGGCAGGGGTAAGATATGTAACCCTAACAATATTTGTACCCCCTTAATATGAGGTAATAAAAAAATTAAAAATAAAAATAAATAAAAATGAGCCAGTTATCAAAGAAGAAATAGTTCTTATTTCAAAAGAAAAAATAAACACAAAAAATAAGTTGCTGATTCCTAACAGGAAAAATACATTTTGATAATTGCGCGCTGGGTCACTGCTAACATACACATTGCAGATCAAATATTTGGAGTTAAGATGTTAGTCTATGTTAGATGAGTGATTGTAACTTTATTGCCATTAAAAGATTCCCAGTTGAATTCATGCTTCTGTGGACACACAGTGGAAATGGGCATAGTGTAAAGACTGGTGTTTCCTTATGTCTGCTCTGTTCATTCCTACTGTCTACTCTCCTATGACACTGCATCCCTAATGTACACAGTCTAGTGATTTCTAGTAGTATAAAGTTGTCGCCCATCAATAAAAATCACTAAGTTGGTTTTTAAAAAAAAGAAATTGAAGAGAACACAAATAGAATGACCTCCTATGCTCATGAATGAGAATAATTAATATTGTTAAAATAACATACTACCCAAAGCAATCTACAGATTCAATGCAATCCCTATAAAAATGCCAATGATATTCTTCACAGAAGTAGAAAAAATAATCCTAAAATATGTATAGAACTACAAAGACCCTGAATATCCAAAGCAATCCTGAGCAAAAAGTACGTATCTGGAGGCATCACACTACCTGACTTCAAAATATACTACAAAGCTATAACAGCCCAAACAGCATGTTTCTGGCATAAAAATAGACACATAGACCAATGGAACATAACAGAGAAACCAGAAATAAAGTCACTCATTTACAGCCAACTCATTTTCAAAAAAGTCACCAAGAAGATAAATTGGGGAAAGAATAGTCTCTTTAATAAATAGTGCTGGAGAAACTGGATATCCACATGTGGAAGAATGAAACTAGACCCTAATCTCACACCATATACAAAAATTAAATCAAAATGTATTATAGACTTAAATGTAAGACCTGAAACTATGAAAGTATTAGAAGAAAAAATTGGGGACATGTTCCAGGACATTGGACTGGGCGAAGGTTTTTTGGATAAGACCTCAAAAGTACAGGCAACAAAAGCAAAAAATAGATAAATGGGATTGTATCAAGCTAAAATACCTTCTGTGCAGCAAAGAGAACAGTCAATGGAGTGGAGAGACAACCTACAGAATGAGAGAAAATACTTGCAAACTATCTATCCAACAAGGGATTAATAACCAGAATATATAAGTCATTCACACAACTCCATAACAAAAAAACCCAAATAATCCAATTTAAAAATGGGCAAGAGATCTTAATACATATTTCTCAAAAGAAGACATATAAATGGCCAACAGGTATATGAAAAAATGCTCAATATCACTAGTCATCAGGGAAATGCAAATCAAAACAGCAATGATGTATCATCTCACCCTTGTTAAAATGGCTATTATCAAAAAAAAAAAAAAGAAATAACAAATGCTGATGAGGATGCAGAGAAAAAGTAACTCTTGTCCACTCTCTTTGGGAATGTAAATTAGTACCAACATTATGGAAAACAGTGTGGAAATTCCTCAGAAAACTATTAATAAAAATAGACCTACCATATGATCCAGCAATCTCACTACTGGATATGTATACAAAAGAAAGAAAATCAGTATGCTGAAGAGTTATCTGCACCCCCATGTTTATCACAGCACTACTCACAATAGCCAAGATATGGAATCAACATAAGTTTCCATCAACAGATTAACAGAAAAAGAAATTGTGGTACATATATACAATGCAATATTATTTAGCCATAAAATAATGAAATCCTGTCATTTTCAACAACACGGATGAGCCTGGAGGTTATTATGTTAAGGGAAATAATCCAGGGGCAGAAAGACAAATATCACATATTCTCACGCATATATAGGAGCTAAAAAGTGGATTTCATGGAGGTAGAAATTAGAATGGTAGTAACCAGAGGTAGTGAAGGGTAGGGGGTTAAGGAGGATGAAGAGAGTTTGGTTAATGGGTACAAATATACAGTGAAATGGAAAGAATAACTTCTAGTGGTTTTTTGGGGTTTTTTTAACACTGTTATTTTTTTTTTGTTTTTTGTTTTGTTTTGTTTTCTCCTTTTTTATTTTTTTTATTTCGGCATATTATGGGGGTACAGATATTAAGGTTTCAAAAAAATGCCCATTTCCCCCCCTCCCCCCACAAGTCTGAGTCTCCATCATGACCATCTCCCAGATGGTGCACATCTCACTCATTATATATGTATATACCGGCCGCCCTCCCACCTCCCACCTGCCCAATAACCTATTACTGTAGTACCTAGTGACCACTTAGGTGCTGTTCAGTTAATACCAATTTGCTGGTGAGTATATGTGGTGCTTGTTTTTCCATTCTTGGGAAATTTCACTTAATAGTATGGGTTCCAGCTCTAACCAGGAAAATATAAGATGTGCTATGTCATCATTGTTTCTTAGAGCTGAATAGTACTCCATGGTAACATTACACATATTTATTAATCCATTCTTGGATTGATGGGCACTTGGGCTGTTTCCACAGCCTTGAATTATGAATTGTGCTGCTATAAACATTCGATGCAGGTGTCTTTTTTGTAGAGTGTCATGGATATTTTGGGTAGATGCCCAGCAATGGGATTGCTGGATCAAATGGTAGATTCACTTGTATCGCTTTAAGGTATTTCCATATTGCTTTCCACAAGAGTTGAACTAGCTTGCAGTCCCACCAGCAGTGTAGGAGTGTTCCTCTCTCTCCGCATCCACGCCAGCATTTACTGTTTGGAGACTTTTGATAAAGGCCATTCTCACTGGAGTTAAGAGTTACCTCATTTGTGGTTTGATTTGCATTTCCCTGATGATTAGAGATGTTGAGCATTTTTTCATATGTTTGTTGGCCATTTCTCTGTCTTCTTTAGAAAAGTTTCTGTTCAAGTCCTTTGCCCACTTTTAATGGGTTATTTGATTTTTTTTCCTGATTTTCGTGAGTTCAGAGTATATTCTAGTTATCAGTCCCTTATCGGATGCATAGGATGCAAAAAATTTTCTCCATTCTGTAGGTTGTCTGTTTACTTTCATGACTATTTCTTTGGTGTGCAGAAGCTTGTAGTTTGATCATGTCCCATTATTATTTTGTTGCTGCTGTGATTGCCTTTGGTACTTTTTCATAAACTCTATTGCCTAGCCAAGTCTAGCAGAGTGTTTCCGACTTTTCCTCTAGAATTCTGATAGTTTCATACCTTAGGTTAAGTCTGTTATCCAGCGTGAGTTGTTATTTGAGAGTGAAAATGTGGGTCCTGCTTTAGCCTTCTACAGGTGGCTATCCAGTTTCCCAGCACCAATATGAAAAAGGTTCTTTTCCCCAGCATATGTTTTGTCTGCTTTCTCAAAGATTAGAGGCTATTTGAGAATGTTTTATATCAGGATTCTCAGATCTGTTCACTGGTCAATATTCTAAGTTTTTGTGCCTTACCATATTGATTTAATTTACGCTGTGAGTATAGTTGATATCTGGCATATAATGCCTCCAATTTTTGTTTTGTGCCTGAAGTTGCTTTTGATATTCGTGGTCTTCTTAGTTCATACGAGCTAAATATTTTTTCTATATTTGGTGCGAGAATGTGATGGTTTTAAAGATGCATTAATTGTAGTCAGTTTGGGTGTATCAGACATTTTGATAATGAAGTTGCGATCCACGAGCATGGTATGATTTCCATACTGCTTTAATCCTCTGGCTATTTCCTTCTCGGTGTTCATAGTGTTCTCCCTGTAGAGTCTTTACCTCTTGGTTAAGTATATCTAGGTACTTAAATTCTTTGGGTTTGCTATTGTGAAGAATTGAGTCTTTGATTTGTTGCTCATAGAATTTTGTTGGTGGATACGAATGCCTCTGATTCTGTGTTTTGATTTTGTATCCTGAGACTTTACTAAATTCATTGTCAGTCAGGAGTTTCTTGTTGAATCTTAGGGTTTCTAAATATAATAATCAGATCATCAGCAAACAGTGAAAGTTTGTCTCTTCTGCTCCCTATTTGGATCTTTAATTTCCATTTTCCTGTCTGATGGCTGTAGCCAGATCCAAGCACTAGTTGGAACAGAAGTCGATGATATGGCAGCTTTGGTCAGTCTAGATTTGGGAATGATATCAATTTTCCAATCATATGATGTTTATGGGTCTGTCATATATGGCATTGTACTCTTTAGTATGCCCTTCTATGGCCTATTCTTAAGGTTCGGTATCAT